AAGTGCTGAGATTACAAGCGTGAGTCACTGCATCTGGTCTACCCACTCTTCTATGCTTGCCTTATCCTTGTTTTACAGATAGGAAACCAAGGCACTGGCAGGTTAATAACTCAGGAAGTAATTGGCAGGCTGGGAAGTGTATGGATATTCTACAACCTCCTGCTAATAGCTAACTATTAACCACTGCCCTCCAGACAGCTTTATTCCCTATCATTCTAATCACCTGCCTGTAGAGAAGCCACAACCATTCCCACCTGCAGGGAATCTGAGGCGTCAGAGACACTGAGGTCCACATCCAAGCAATCCTTTAGGAAGGACTTTGTGTTTCCTAGGACGATGCAATGGGGCTTTCTACCTAGGAGGCTGGTGTGTGGTTTCTCAGTGTCTTGGGAATCTCTCTTATATTGGCCCTCTCCACTTAGACAGTAGCTCTCTTCTGGGTCACTTGCAACCTTTTTTGTGACCATGGGAGAATGTGGGCATTTCTCCTAGCACAGCTCCATTGAATCTTTAGTCTGGGAGGGGTTGTCCATTCTTTTCATAACACTGTTTTTCTGGATGGAAAGAGTCATGGACACATCTGAGGATTGGTGGCTCTAGAAGACACAATCCTAAAATTTCCCTCTCCTCTGTTTGGAGACAGCTTCTGGGACCATGTAATCCTATGCTTGGGAACAGATGGAATCTTCAAAAGTGTATAACATATTTTTTAAAAATATATTTCAGTGGTATTTCTTTATGAGGCTGTAATTTTAAGAGAAAATTTGGCACACTTATTAAAAACATTTTTATTATACCTTGATATTAATAATCATCATATGAGATCCTTCTGTGTCACTTGTTTCAGAGTTTGTATGTGTCGAGTTTGTGTTTGTGAGGGAAGGGTAAGTTTACCCAGATCTTGGAAAACATGGTCACTGGATGTGGAAGTCATAGGTTCAAAAATCAAGCCTTGTTACTAAAGTTTGGGAAAGGATTTATTCCTTGGCATTTGCAACCAGCCGAAACTGACCTGGAAGTCTCTGGACAGTCATGTCATATTCAGATGATTCTTGTAGATGCTCACATGGGATGAGTAAATGCTCCAGTGTGGACATGGTCCGTGCCATGACTACTAACACGTGTTCGTGGGTCACTTCTCAGACCCTCATTTATAGTCAGCCGCAGCCAGTGTCACATCAGCTCCAGGTGAGAATGTGGAGTCATCATCTTTTGAGATGACTTGCATGGGATGTAGTGGCTGAGGTTTTGATTTTGACAAATTACTCACTTCAAAGAGACCTCTACTCAAAACCTCCACTTTTAGTGGAAGTCTAGAAAAAATGGGATTTGTGTAAATGGTGAGACTGAAACTAGACCGTAATTTTCTCCTTCTAAAAGCTGTAAAATGTTCTACGTCATGTCAACCAAAACTGAAATTGGGGAGAGGAGGAGGAGAAAAGAGGGACTGAATGTGACAATTTATCACACTCTACACCATCTCTACAGGACAGGGTATTTCATTCCTAGTGTTTTGTTGGAATCTATCAATGACATCCTATAGTTGACATAATAATCCCTCCCACATTCAGTAATCTTGACCTTCTCAGACAAATAAAGCCCATGGGAGAACTGCTGAAGTCCTTGCTGGAGCCCCAGTTCAGCCATTCACTGCCTCCATGAATCCTTGTAAGACCTTTCCTGATTGAGAGTTCTCTCTACCAACAGTCTCTTCTCTTGCTACATCCTCTTTATTTTCTAGGAATAAATAGAAAATTATTTCCAAGCCTGAAAACCCGAGACCACATTTACAACCAGGATTTAACTGCTCTTCTTGCTTTTAATTATAATAATTAAAAAGTTGTGGTGGTGCCCAACACTCATACTTCCAATTTGTACCTTCTGTTATATAAAGTGAATCACTGACCAGCTCTATTGACCCTGCAAAATTTGTGCATCCTTAGTGTTGAATTTGCTTGGAATGAGTGAGAGTGCATTTGTTTCTTCTTACACATGCTTCTTGTTGAGCTTAGATGTGCTCCTTTTAGATAACACACCTTATATCCTGGATGATGGATTCACTTTTGTGCTCCCCAAAGTGTATTGCTAGTGGGTGACATGGATGCCTACAGTTTGGGCTATAATTGAATCTCCTGAATTGGCAATTAACAAATAAAAGATGGCTCCTGGTGTTGACAGAGGATCCAGGCGTCCTCAAGGTAGTTTTCATCTTCTTGTTTTCACCTAAATTCACGTCAGACATCCTTATGGGTTGATGCTGTAAAATATTTTCTGTAAACTTCAAAGCTTTTACTGTTGCTTCCATACCCCCAAACCTCTAAGATGCCTTTTGTTTTCTTGTCAGAAGTTATCTCATTCAACTTGTTTCTTCAACCTACCTTCTTTCCTGGAAATATGAGAAATAAGCCTCTTTCTGGATGGAACAGTGGCATATCTTCATTCTTTGTGACTTGCAAGTAAAACCTGACACTTCTCCCTGCAATTTCTCACAATTTTTTTCTATGCTTAGTCTTACTGCCGTTGCATTTATTGAATATACACTGTCATTTATAAATTGCGGCATTTGTTGTCATTATGTGTACTGCTCAAATTGCAAAGTTGCCTCCTGTGAATTAATGAAACTGTTAAGCAACGTCTGATTTGTGCAGCTTGCCTGCTTGAGCTTGACTGGGTTCTGGGGCTGCTCTAGACTAATGCTCTTATTTAGAGATCAGGGGAATGGAGGCCAGTTTAAGGAGTTTGACCATGACCAAGTAGAGAGTGGGTAGACCAGACACATGTCTAGACAGTAAAGTACATGGTACAGAGCTAGAAAGCTGCAGCTGGCTCCTAGTTCGGGTGCTTTCTCAGTGTCTAACTTTAGACAATTATTTCACTGCTGTGTGCCTCAGTCTTCTTGTCTGTAAAGTGGGGCTACAGTGGTGCCAGCAGCCCACCTGTCAGGATTATCTGAAGCTCATACAGGTGACGCACACAGAATAGTGCTCAGCACTCCAGGCGCCATTAGATATCCACATTATTGTCATGATGTTGACTGTTTTTAACTGTTCAGGACATATGGTAGGGTGTATGTTACCATCAAACTTTATGTGGGTGTATATAAGGGGATCCCCCAAAAACCTAGAATTATCATTTGGTGGGTGGGCCCTTTGTAGTACAGGCTTCCCTTGCTAGGTAAGTGTTGTAGGAACCCATTGACATCAGTGTACCAACTAGAGTTGTTGTGAGAGGCTGTATTCAGCTTCAGTGATTTTTTTTTTTTTTTTTAGATTTCAGCATGTTGCACATTTCACAATGGGTGATTTATGACTACATCTACCCATACTGTGCTGAGTGTTAAGCAGTTTTTGACCAAAGACAACATGACCCCCCACCCTCCCTATTCACCCTATCTTACCCTGAGTGATTTTTATTTTGTGTTCCTGATGAAAAAAGTCCTCAGAGGAAAACTTTCTGCTGATGTGAAAGAGATAAAACAGAAAACAGCAGAAGCACTAAAAGGCATCCAAAAATTGATAAGTTCAAAAACTTTTCTGAGCAGTGGAAAACGCATCCTGATAGGTGTATTGCATCAAATAGAGGGTACCTTGAAGGTGACTGAAGCTTAAACAGGTAGGAATACACAGTTTTTTATAAATAAATTCTGGGGTTTTTTGCCTCCCCCTTCCCACCCCCTGTACATGCATCAGGCTTTTGTCATCTTTTTCATTCTTCAGATTAACTAGTACTGTGTTACATAACTTGCAGCGGTGTGCTTCATGGTGGTGTTAGTAGAAGCAGAAACAGTGATGATAGTAATGAAAGGCAGTGCCGTTCGTTGGACCTTGTTCTGTTTTAGACACTGACATAGGTATGTGGCGTCCACAGTCTCTAATGTGTAGTCAGTCCATAGCTACTAGAAACAGCATGGTAGTTTATGTCCAGAAATGCAAATGTAGCCTCCTCAAGATAGGAGTCTCTTTTGTAACTGGAAAGAAGTATGAGCTTTGGCCCTGGTAGAAAAGCTGTGGGTGTAGAAACAGGAGCCCTGATAGAATTCCTTGCATCTTTCAGGTCATCCTGGTGCTGCCAATGTTTACAGAGCCTAATCCTGTTTTTGATAATGGGAGACTGGCTGGGGAAGGGGATGGAGGTCAAGGAACAGGATGGGAGGGGCAGGTATGGGGCAAGATGAACCACACCTATGTCAGTAACACCAGAAAAGAGATGATCAGCATTCACTCATGCTTTGTTTTTTTTTTTTCTAGTTTGTAATTTTATATCATATAAAAAGGTTACCCCTTTTCTAGCCATCCAAATAGAAATCCATTCAGGACAATAGCATTGGCATAGAAAAGCTGTTTTTTTCTTGCTTTGCTTGCTTGATTGGTTAACTAAATAAATTGCACTGATACATTAATAGGCAGTAGGGTAAGGTGAAGTTTAATCACAAAATTCACAATCGCTTCAATGTTCTTTGATTTTCATGCGTAGTATGTTCCATAATAATAATATAAATAGCCACAGCAATAATAAAAGCTCTAATGTGTGAAAGTGCCTAGACCGGGTCCTAGAATGGGAGCATTCATTGTGCTAGGTGCTCTGTGTGCGTGTGTGTGTATGTGTGCACAAATATGACTTATACATATCATATATACACCCTCTTATATGTAATCACTTTCACACTCACACATATACTTTCCACGGATAGTTACAGCCTTTCAAATCCATACGTGTGTATGCATTTACATATAGACACGTGTATGTGCATTTCTAGATATAATATACATTGCCATTTTAAATCTTACCACAGCTTTAGAAAAGGCAGCTGAGGCTCAGAGAAGTCAAGCCACTTGCTCAAGGTCACAAGCGGTGGCAGAGCTGGAGCTCCGCCTTGACTCCTGCCTGCCAATGGCCCTTTTTCAAGATGCCCAGGCAACAGTTTTCCAGGACCAGCAGCGTCTCCATCACAACACGCTGCTCCTGAGGACAAGAGTGATCTTTTGCCCTTTCTTTTCCAGAATCTCCAAGCAAAGATTTTGGTCCGACTCTGGGCCTGAAAAAGTCCAGTTCCTTGGAGAGTCTGCAGACCGCCGTGGCCGAGGTCCGCAAGAATGAGCTTCCCTTCCACAGGCCCCGGCCACACATGGTCCGAGGCCGGGGCTGCAACGAGAGCTTCCGGGCAGCTATCGACAAGTCCTACGACGGACCTGAGGAGCTTGAGGCTGGTAGGCAACATGTGTCCTTGAATGGCTTCTTCCTCTTGCTATTATCTGCAAATCATAGGCAGGAGTATGTGCTTAAGTACAGAGAAAAATGATTCAAGGATCACAATTATATTTCTGATATTAAAAGTAATTCATTTTCCTGATGTGTTGTGCCCCTTGGCTTAACGAACTTGGAATTGGAGAACACAGTGTGCCATTTATTTCGCCGAGCGATGCCATAGAAGCGTTCCTCTTCCCTTTCTGCAAAGACCAGCTGTCACTTCCCTTAGGGGAGGAGTGCTAAGCATGCGTTTCTTGACATGCTCATTGGACTCATTAGATGCAGCATCAATCTAGGACCCTGACTGCATTAATTGGATAGAAGCAGCCGGTTCTATTTGTGCCCCAAATCCTCTCCTCGAAATAAATGCAGCCTGTTTGTTTCCCAGCATGTGGGCTTTCTGAGCTGATCAAGGTTAACAAGCTGCTTTTGGGGAGCTTATTAGTGCTTTGCCATGTAGTGTAGCTAGCCTCTCATACCACCAGCTAAGCAACTCCCATCATCAGACCTCACTTGAAATGACCAGATTTGGGCAACTGCATCTTCAAAGGGGGCACAAAGCCACATGGTGGGGTGGAGCTCCGGAGCGTGTTCACCTGTTTTTCGTATTTTACATTTCGGTTTGCCTTATGAATGCACCATGAGTGCCCCCGACCACGGGTATTGATTGTGTTTTCTCTGCACAGACGGTCTGTCTGATAAGAGCTCTCACTCCGGCCATGGAGCTCTGAATGGTGAATCTGCCCCTCAGGGGACCCCTGAGCTAGAGGACATCGAAAATAAAGCCAGGAAAGTAAAAAAAATGAAAGAGAAGGAGAAGAAAAAGGAAAAGGGCAAGTTGAAAGTCAAGGAGAAAAAGCGCAAAGAGGAGAATGAAGACCCCGACAGGAAGATGAAGAGGAAGGGTTTCGGGGCCATGCTGAGGTAGGGCCTGCCACAGAGGCTGGGCTGGCTGAGTTTCTTTGTATCTCTCCTGGTGGAATCACTCCTTTGCTCTCCTGTCTCCTTAGCTCTATGCATAAAGTCGAAACTGGATGTGCTTGTTTCTCTGCAGAAGCAGGGAAGCTTTTGGGGGAGTGTGTAGGGATGGCAGGGCACTGTCATAAGTCTGTTGTCAGAGGTAAGTGAGTCTCAGTAGAGGACAGGCAGTGCCTGTGGTCCTTTCTACCCAAGTGTCACTCGGATGCCGAAATGCTTCCTCCAGTGGCACAGCAAAAGCCAGTAACAGGGAGCCCCGAATGTCCCCTGTGGGTGGACATCTCCTCTTAGTTAGAAGAGTCATGACAGGTGAACCTCATGCCCCCATGACTCTAGGCTTGTGGTGGCCAGGCCTTTGGGACAACAAGTGTCACCTACAGAGGCACTGTGATGCAGCAGAGATGTCATTGTGTCTAGGGTCAGAAGTGTTCAGTCTAGCATAAAACAAAGTCTTCCTCCCCCGACTCGTGGGGCCTAGCCACGAAGAGTGTTCTGCGTTGTGGCAGGAGGCTAGATTCCCTCTCCTCCTATTTAGTCTCTGGAACAGAGGAGGGGGAGGGGCAATGTTCAGCAGGATAGGGTTAGACTTCACTGGTTATCTGGTCCAATATGGCCTTCAGAGCACCTCTGTGGGTCTTTCGGGGGGGGTCCCACTGCACTGGGCACTGATGTCGGAGACTTATTTTCCCACTGACCTCTTACCCTTACCCTCTGACCTCACACATGCCTGGTGGAGTCTTCTTATCCCAGCTGTAGACTTCTGGAGCAGTGGCAGCTGGAGGAGACTGTAGTCTCATGTACTGCCACAGCACCTAACTGACTGACAGGAATGCTGACCTCTCATTTTCAGAGGACAAAAGCACAGCTCTCCCTCCCCTGCCCTGTTCCACTCTGCACCCTGCCACAGAGATGTCCCCCACCTTCATATTCCCAGACTTCTCCAGGATGAGTCACGTGCTAGCTTTGCACCCCCTCCCCGGGGGCACACATCAAACTCTCCCCAGTACACTCCTGCATGGGGAAGAGGAGCACAGTCAGTTTATACAAGTTAGGAGTAAGCAGGTGGGAAGTGGGAGATAGTCTCCTTCCATGCAATTGCCTCCACATTCCCTGGGGGTTTTCTTGTGCCCCTCACTTATTTTGTTGGAGGTGGGAGACCAGAGCGCCCCTTTCCATAATGTCCTTTGTACCTGTAACTTTCTGTCAAATCGCTGAGTCTCTGTACATCTCTCCTGCGGGCTAAAGGGAATGATGGGAGATGACATGGAGGAAGTGCTTGGCCCCCTCTTATGCAGCCCTTAGGAGAGAGAGCTCTTAAGAAGGTCAGGTGTACCTGTTACCACTTCCTGCCAGTGTGGGACCTGCAGCTGAAATTCCAGACAGAAAGTAAACTTTCATCACTGCATACCTTCCATTTCAATCATAAATATAAGGGAGAACCCCCCAAAATTTATTTATTAAAAATGATGTATTTATTCTTACATGTTTAAACTTCAGTCACCTTCAAAGTATTCTCCATGTGATGCAAGACACCTATCAAGATGCTTTTTCTACTGCTCCAAACAGTTTTTGAACTCTAGTTTTGTTGCCTTTTAGTGCCTCTGCTGTTTTTGGAAGAGGTGAAACTCTTCCACATTGGCAAAATGTTTCTTTTCAAGGACCTTTTTCATCCAGGGAAACAAAAAAAAGTTGGTCAAGGCATAGGGGTCATGCCTTTTTTGGTAAAAAACAAAGCAAAAGACAACCGCTGGACATAGAACAGTGTAGGCAGGTGTACTCATAATCACCCATCATGAAATGGGCAAACTTGATGAGAGAATCTCCAAAAAATTTCATTGAAGCCTCTCACTGAATGCAGCCTTACACAACAACGCTAGCTGGTACATGGATGCCAATGAGTTCCTAGAATACTTACCTGGAGGGGAAACCTGTAGTACAAGGGGCCCACTTTCCAAAAGATAATTCCAGGTTTTTTGGGTCCCACCTCGTATATATGGAAGGACTTTGTATACTGCAAAGTGACGTTTAGAGGATGCGGATAACATTGACACCAGTGAGTCTTCCTGGTACATTTCCAGCTTATAAAAGGCTATGCCAGGACCCTCCTGCTCAGTCTTGGGAGTAACTTTGCCTCTGGATGTGTTGGGACAAGACTTGCCACGATCCTGCTGCCACCTGGGTCAGGGTTACCCCACAGGCCTGATATCATGGTCGTTATCTAACTATCAATGAACAAAATTTCAACAAATTGGGTTTGTTTGTTTGTTTGTTTGTTTGTTTGTTTTGAGAAAGCAGGATTTATTGAGAGGACAGAAAAGTTGCAACAGTGAGAGGGAACCCCAGGGGGTTGCCCAACAAATTCAGTTTTCAAGGTCAAATTAGCTTTTATTAGTGATTCATAAATCGGGCAGCATCCCATCTACGGAACAGAAAGGTACTTCAGTGCACTGAACACAGTATCAGGAGAAGAAGAAGAAAGCAGAAACAAGGAACAAAAAGTAGTTACTTTCCTTATGAGGTTAAATGAGAGAGAACATCCTTATTATGACCTGGGGCCCTGCCTGCCTGGGCCTCTTTTTGGTTTTTTTGTTTTTTGTATTTTTGAGTCAGTATCTCGCTCTGTTGCCCAGGCTGGAGTTCAGTGGCACTATCACAGCTGCCACAGCTTTGACCTCCTTGGCTCAGGCAATCCTGCCTCACCCCACCCCATACCATCACGCCCAGCTAATTTTTAAAATTTATTGTAGAGATGATTTGTTGCCTAGGCTGGTCTTAACCACCTGTGCTCAGGCCATCCTCTTGCCTCAGCCTCCCAAAGTGCAGGGATTACAGGCGGGAGCCACCATGCCAGGCCTCCTGGGTCTCTTTAGATTGGCTGCTATGAATCTCCTGGATTTTGGAAAACTGACTCATTCCTAAGTTTAATTTGATTCCATGGCACCTAGCAAGAGTGCAAAATAATGGCCTCCTCTATACTTTATTTAACATGGCCTATAGTCTAGTGCCAGATTGGAACAAATCTCTCAGTAGACATTGATGCATTTTTCCTGGTGGTCTCTATATATCTTTCCATTTGCCATTTTGAATTTTAAGGTTGCCCTTTATTCTGGGTAATTATTTTAATTGCCAGAACTTATGAGCTGTGATTTAAGCATCTTGATAATAAGGACATCATGTATATGCAATGTATGTAGATGAGAGTTTTGTCTTTGGAATGAAGGAGTAGAGAGGTTGAAAGTAAAGGCTCTGCATGTGGACATCTGATACAGTTTTGGCTCCTCTAACTTCTATCTAGGTAACACTGAGCAAGTTATTTAACCTCATTTGCCTCAGTTTTCTCATCTGAAACATGGGAGTAATAATAGAATCTTATGAGAATTACGAGTATATCTTGTCATATATGACATGCTTAGAACTATGCCCAGCAAGCAGTAAACATCCAGTGAAAGTTCATTATTACAACAAGCATAATAATGGCCCTTAGAGATGTCCATGTCCCTGTCCCCAGTGTCCATGAATATGCAATGACATAAGGTGAGGAGGAAGGCTGCGAATGGAGTGCAGATTGCTGGTAGGCCGACCTCACAATGAATTACCCTGGGTTTTCCACGGTGGACCCAACATCGTCACAAGGGGCCTTAAAACTAGAAGAGGAGACTGGGCATGGTAGCTCATGCCTATGATACCAACACTTTGGGAGGCAGAGGTAAGAGGATTGCCTGAGCCCAGGGGTTCAAGACCAGCCTAAGCAACATGGAAAGACCTAGGCAACATGGCAGAACTTGTCTTTACAATAAATCCAAAAATTAGCCAGACATGGTGGCACACGCCTATAGTTCCAGCTTCTTAGGAGGCTGAGGTAGAAGACTCACTCAAGAGTTCGAGGTTGGGGTGGCCGTGATAGTGCTACTGTACTCCAGTCTGGGTGGCAGAGTAAGACTCCAACTAAAAAAAAAAAAGAAGAAGAAGAAAAGGCAAATGGAAGTAAGATACCAAGAAACTCAGGGCTGCTGACTTTGAAGATGGAGGGAGAGGTCAAGGAGCCACACAGTGTGGGTACCCCTAGAAGCTGGAAAAGGGAAGGAAGCAGATTCTCACTAGAGAGCATACAGAAAGGAATGCAGTCTGCCAACCCTGTCAGTCTAGCCCTGTTGTGTTGTTGAAGTCACTGAACAACAATGGTGGCAATTTTTTACAGCATCCATAGAAAACGAATGTAGTTTTATCATAATTATTATTACTACTTTTACAGTATCATAGTAATTCATAAGGAAAAGTTTCCTCTCTGAGGTGTTAAAGAAAAACACTATAAGAAGACTTAAATAATCTATGAATATAAAGATGGTTAAAGCTACATGTATCCCATTTTCTAGACTACAACTACATTGAGCCTTAGTTATATATTTTACTTCAGGTGATTTGACATGTCAAGTTCATACTCCATCGCCCATAACACAGTGCAGGCTTCCCTTTCTCAGTCCAACACACTCTGTACTTTCTTTCACTCAACGTCACAGGTCTCAGATACTTTAGCTATGGAGCACCTTGGGCTTCGTTTCCGTCTACTATGTTAGCAAAATTAAGATCTGAAAGGTGGTGTTTGATTTTATCTTTGGTGTAAAAATAGCAACTGTTTTCCATAGCCTTTTGCATCCGAGTTGGTGAGCATATTGGAGTTGCTGCTACATGCACATTTTCTACAACAAAGAACACAAAGCTGTTACCGTCAGCCAGCAGATTTTGCTTTAATTCTCATCTGTTGCTCAGATGCTATTGACTTAGTTTCTTTCTTATTTAAAAAAGATTGATTGTTTTAAGGTTCTCTTGGAGTGAGTGAGGGGTTTAAATAAGTATTATTTTTTCTCCAACACTCTCCGGGAGGGAGTCCTTGTAGCACTGGTTGTACAGTTGCACCGCATGGAATGGCAGCTGGCCAAGGGCTGAGG